TAAAAAAAATAAAAAATAAAAAATAAACAGCCATTCTCCTTTCCCCCACGTACTTGTTGTTACTCTGCAAGGGAAGAAGTATCTGTTCCCTGGCAACATCTTCTAAAAAAAAAAAAAAAGATTATAGTTTCAGAACTGTGTCCTCTAGGGCTGTGATTGACACTGGGGTTGTCAATTTTTAATCAGTATATTGATTTATTCGTTTACTTTGTGGTACTGAGGATTGATCCCAAGACCTTCTCAGGGAGCTACGTCTCCAGTTTATTTATTTATTTATTTATTTATTTATTATTTATTTATTCATTCATGCTTTCTTTCTTGTACCAGGAATCAAACTCAGGACCTTGCACTTGCCAAGCTGGCACTGTGCCACTGAGCTGCATCCCCAGCCCTTCTTCATGCTTTCGTTCACTCTAAGACAAGGTCTTGCTAACTCACTAAACTGCCCAAGCTGTCCTTGAACTTATGATCCTCCTGCCTCAGCCTCCCAGAGTGCTGGGATTACAGGTGTGTGCTGCCTTGGCAAGCTGCCGCTGGACTTTCAAGTATGTTCTGTGTGCTTGTTTCCCCCTCTCCACTCAGGACTCGCTTTGGAACACCGGAAACACTTCTGATTTTGGCCATAAATTTGTCTGTGGGCACATTCAGCCAGCGCTCCGATCCATTGACACGAAAAGGAATAGACTGAGGAGCAGAAGGGGTGGGGGTGGGGCAGGCCGGGCCAAGATGAGTCGGCAGCGCGAGACACAGTTCCTGCCTCAAGGGACACTGGCAACTGGTCGCCAAAGCTGCCTTTTGCCTAAGGATGCCTTTTACCCGCAGGCAGCAAGCAGGGCAGTGGGTCCATCACCTCCCACAGATGCCCTATCTGCAGATGCTCACATCTCTTCTATAAAACAGCATAGTGCTAGCTTAGAACCTGTGCACATCCTGCTGTACACACTCCGTTACTCATATTACTTCATACAATGCAAGCGCCACATAAATACTTGTTATCCCTTGGTGTGTAGGGAATAGTGACAAGAAAAAAGCCTGGTCATGTTCAGTACAGACCCAGTTCAAAAGCCATACTTTCAGTGCGTAGGTGGCTGAACCTGCAGATGTGGGACCCAGAGCTGGGCCGGCTGAAGAGTGAAATATTTGCTCATGGCCTAGAGATTCAAGAACCCTATATGGATGCTTATGAGACACTGCTGTCCTTGTCACTCTAGTTAACTCTCTTCTGAGCTTCAGGGCATATCTATGGTTAACCTATTAGGATCAAAATTTCCTCTATGTTTGAAATAAATTTGCAGAAATGCTTTGTTTCCTTCCTGGGTCCCAAGGTAATACACAAAGAAAATTAGCCTAATTATGTGGGAAGCTCTTTTTTTTCTAAACTGCACATACACAAATTCTCCAAGTTTCCAAATGCAGTATGATTCCCATGACTTGGCCTTGTGCATTACTAGGCCTTGGTTAAACAAAAGGAAATTGAGCGGATTGTAATAATGGCTGCTCGCTGAACTCTTCCAAGCGTCAGGCGTGTACTTCACCTCGGGATCCCAGTTAAAGTTGCTTTCTATCATCTTCATTTGCGTGCCCCAGAGAAACAGGCACATAAACAAAACTGACAAGACCTGACAGTGTTATGAACGATCAGCGTCAACCCTGACCACCGCCCCACAGAATCCTCTCAC